TTTCTCCAGGAATGAYAGAGAATTAATTTGATTGGGTTATCCTACAGGTTAATTGATCCAACAGACTTTATGGTCTCTTTGAAGAGAACACTGCATAGAAAATATAATAGCTTGTTGTAACACATTGGGAYTTAGTGCTCTTTTCTTGACTCTGTAAGTTAACTCCAAAATCCCTCYTACAGAATGTCTTTTATGGCTCCATAGTAATCAGATGAAGAATGAGGAGGAGACATTTAACCATYGACATTGAGATTTGAATTTGATCCTCAATAACACAAAGTACTCTCTGAACTCAGTATGAATATTGATGGTTTTCCTCACTGTTCCTGGTGACCAACATAATTCAAGGACGCCTTCAAAAACCGCCCCAGTGGTCACCCCACTTTGGAAGACCTTTAGACCAGTATGTTCCTGTGGGGTAGTTCTTCCACAGGGCATGAGGATCCAGGCTAGGAGTCTGTAGCTGGATTTCCCAGTGGTGTAAGCATGCACTTTTCCAGGACATGACACTAATGTATTTTTTTACCCCTTCACCATGAGATGACAGTTACAGGAAGTAAATGCAGTTTAGGGAAGTATTTCTAAAACTGTCTCATTTCTTTAAGCAGTCTATTGCATGTTTAGGAAATCTGAGAAAAGCAAGAAATTCTTTTATTTAAATCCCTGCTTCAGTTGCCTTATTTTTTTAAGTATTCTTTGGGAGTTGGATGCATCTTCTTTCCTGGTTCTAGGCTATCTTCCAAGGACCTATTTTTACATATATCTGTATCTGTATTTACACACACACACACACACATCCTGGGGGGTATATGTGTGTGTGTGTCAATATATGTATAAACATAATATCTCCACTCAGGAATCAAACATGTACCTTCTGATTCTTTGGCAAAAGCTTCTTCTAGCTTTGGTTTGCCCTTCATTCAAGAAGGCAACCTCTCTGAATCTGCCTCCTTACGTRTGCACATGTGTGTGTATGTGAGTGCATAGTCTGGTTTTCAGTTGCTAAACTAATATCAAGTCTTGTGTTCTCTGAGCAGTTTTTCACAGCTCCAAGTCTTCTTTCTGCAGAAAATGTTTAATCAAATGAGCTTCTATATCAAAATAGTTTTTGTCTTGTGGCTGGTGGAAATGACAGAAGAGCATTTTGCTAATGGTGTTTAGTCATACAGCATTTCATGAGCTCGACCAGAATTCAAGACAGACTCTTATGGTTTCTTTTGCCACAAAGGATACCAAGTAAGAGGTTGCTGATGCTATGCAGGCCACACAGGGCTGGAACTACAGCATCTGTAGGTGATTAAATTATCCTGCTCTGAGGAAGTCTGSTCTTTATTTTTTTTATCTGCCAAATGATCTTTGCTTTTCTTCCATATTATTTAGAGGAAAACACTTTAGAAAGAATTAAAGGAGTCTGAATTTCTCATTAGCATGTTCATTGTACTTTGATCTAAAGCCTCTAGAAGCAGCTACCTTTTCTACTTGCTAAATTGCTGAGCTATCTTCTATTTGGTATAGTATTATAATACTCACTCTTGATTTTGACCAAGTCTCCTCCACTTSTCTCAAGTTATTAGCTGATTCATTCCATCTTGGGTATATAATATATGATTGCATTATGCTGTTAGGATTCTGTTTGTTTTGGATTACAAGCAGAGCTTGTGTTCTTTGCTAAAGGAGAAGCAGTTGTCTTTGAAAAGAATGGTCGAAGTCCTGGCCTTGAACTCTTCAGGAGGCAGTTATTCTGGTTTTTAAAAGTTGTAAGCACAAGATTCACTCTCAAATCGAAATTTGTCCTCAAAGAGTATTGATTTACCTCTTGACTAATTTAATTTTATCGARTATTTAAAAACTTGCCTTCCAAAAAAGAGACTGCTTTCAGCTACACAGCTTGTTCATTTGTACACAGGAAGCATGATGCAGTTTGCTCCAGGCTTAAGTTTCAGTCTCTATTTATAAGCTGATAGTCTTAATTACCCCTTAAATTACTTTGCCATCCCTTGAGGGGTTTACTGCCCAAAGCAATATTTATTTTTTATTTATTGCTGTAAGAGTAGACATGAGGCTGCAGAAYGTGAGTGAACACACATTCCTGAGCACACATCTCCCAAAGAGGCTGAGCAGCAATTATGCTCTGTATTTTACCCTGTGAACCAGCACTGCCTTTTTCCTTGGATTTGTTMATCTAATTCATGATTTTGAGATCAAGAATAGTTTGAGTTTTGGCTTTTAGCAACAGGACTCATTCAGGAGTGATATTTTGTTGAGGATCATCTTTTCTCATTCCACTGTATCTACCTGTTTATATACCATAAACTTCAATTTTATGAAATTCCTATACTTGCACTGTGTGTTAAATGGCACTCCCCCAATCTTAGAAGCATAGAATCCTTAAGGTTGGAAGGGACCTCTAGAGGTCATCTAGTCCCACCCCTCTGCACATGCAGGGTCTCCTAGAGCATGTGGCACAGGATGGCGTCCAAATCGGTTTTGAAGATCTGTAGATCTGTTCAGATAATGCTCGCTCTTTCTCAAAGGACTTCTGTTGTTTTCTGCTGTCTAAAACATTTATAGATTAAAAGAAAACATAGCCTTCTTGCTTGACCTTCCTTTTCATAAGCAACAATAGAGATTTTTCTCTATCTGTATAGAGAAAAATATGGTGGATGTAAACTTTGTTTTGGGGATGGAGGGGAGTCATAGAAGCCCTCCCTCTTTTAAATAATCCCAGCTGTTTAGCTGTGAATTTCCTTTCGCAGATTTCACCAGGTAATATATAGCTATTCCCTCTGTCTCAATAGTCATTAACTGTCATGTTTTAACCACTTTGTTATTATAAGATACTTAGATTTTTAGCTTCTGATCTGTTACCTGCCCACTGGCTTTTTCTGCTTCCAGACAATTTTGTACCCAAAGTACAACTTTGAGTAACTAAATCTGAGCCATGAATCCTTTGGAAAGTGCAGTGAAATGCACATAAAATGAAGTTTCACTGAAAATTATTGATGAAGATCAAATCTGGAGCCTTAGGCACTAAAAACACATGGCTATTTTGTGTGACAGAGGGAAATCCCCAGCTTTCACTAAGAAATCAATCTGTGCAGTTGCTCAGATCAAATATTTAAAGCAAGCATGATCAAACTATTCAGCTAGTGTATCACATATGCTGAGCTTTAAAAATAGCACACATGCTTTTYAGAATTAGCATTTTTCTATGATGCAGTATTCATACTAGTTTAATTATGAATGTCTGTTATATATAGTTCTCATCACTGAAGAAAACTATGAGAAAAATCTTCTCTAAGGAAGAAAGTTGGAAAATACTTTGCGGATCTTTTGAGGTGTCAAGAATCAGAAAAGAATTAGAAAATAAAAACTTGAAAAATTTCAAGGGATTTCTGGAACATCAAATTTATTATTCTCAAATCTCTGAAATGGGAGATGTTTAGATGCAACATAAAATTTAGTGCAGCTTAGTTCAGTTTCAGATAATCATATTACCTGAAACAGGGAAAGCTGGTAATGGGCAGAAAGGGTTTGTAATCTACTCTTGAAATATCTTTAGCTCCAGAGAGACTGCAACACTTTCACTATATCTTTTTAAGCAAGGATTTTTAACTAAGGCCTTTCTAGAGAAATGTCTCATACTGAAAGTTTAGAAGCTGTTTCTTGAGACAGTACTCAGAGTTACAGATCTTGAAATCAAGTATGCCAGGTAGCACTTGCTGCATGAGAGAAAACTTGATTTTGGCTTTTGCAACTAATTTCCCAGTTTCTCTAATTTGTCCAAAGAAAAGTCAATGTTGCAAGAAGAAACAGTAGCTAATTTCATCATAGAATCATAGAATACTTAAGGTTGGAAGGGACCTCAGAGGTCATCTAGTCCAATTTAATTTACTTGTCTGACACTTCCTTTGCTAATTGTCACAATCTCTGCCATGTCACAAGTATGATAGTTGGCGTGACAGTAGAGAGATTGTTTGTTGGTGACTTCCAACAGTATCAGTTACTTGCCAGTAATTCCCTGATAAGGTAAGTGGTGTGTGACATTAATAAGCCTAATAAGAAAAAGAAGGGATAATTGACTTTGCCTCTTGTTTTTCCATCCAGTAAAACTTATATACTGGTTACCACAAATGAAGATCTGAATTGTTTTATATTTCATTCAAATTGGATTCATTTTATATGTATCTGTTTGGGGCAGTGGCTGCTTTATCTGTGCTTTATCTGTATGACTTTTCTTCTGTCAAGGAGCATAAATATATAATAAGATCATTAAGACAATAGAATTCTGTTTCAATAGTCTTCAKAAATGCATATGGAAGTAAATAACAATGAACAAGATAAAATGTTCATTCTAATTATATAAACTGTATCTCTAAGTCCTTTTAATAAAAAATAAATTGAGGATGAAATGAACTAGCCCATGGAAYCTTGTCCCACTGACAAAATAACTGTTCCATTGATTCCCATGGGAGAACATATATCCGGATTTTCAAAGCACTTTACGTGCCCCACTTGCAGATTTCAGCATCATGGTATGCAAAATTACAGGGGGACCAAAAGTGGGAAACTTCAGACAATTAGATAATTCAGATGACACTGAGCACTTGATTCTCTTCAAAAACATTTTGTAAGTATCTCTGGTATTGATTTTTCACTTCTTTTTTGTTCCAAGTAGAAGTCATAAGGGAGATCTACCAAAAAAAAAAAAAAAAAAGCCAACAACAAAAAAAAAAACTGTTACAAAAAAAAATTATTCTTTTTACTTCTCCTTTTGAATTAATTGATTATGTTGATAATATCTAATTATAGCAACTTTTTTTTCCAGATAGTTTAATCAAAAGTGCTTTTGCTAGTTCCCAAGATTGAAAGYTTGTAGCCTTGGAACTAAGCAGCATTACAGATATTTGCTGATAAGCTTGGTGCATTGGGCAGCACTTTTCTGTAGAGTTCCTGACGGTCTGTGAGCACGTGCTGAAGAATTTAACATTCTCTTACAGCTTTTGCAAGCAAGACAAGTTGCCAATTACTTTCCAGTCCTGTGTGATCACTAAGGAGTGCCAGGTATCCGAATGGACAGAGTGGACCTCGTGCTCCAAAACTTGTTTTGACCTGACAACCCCTAAGGGGAACCGTACAAGGACACGGACCATCAAGCAGCTTCCCATTGGCAGCGAAAGCGACTGCCCAGAGTTAGAAGAAACGGAGCAGTGCATTTCACAAGGGGACGGAGTGGCACCCTGCATTACGTGAGTTGGTTTCTTGCAGTTCTCCCCGTGCTAAAAAGAATAGTTTAAGTGAGGTGTGTTGGGCTGCGGTTATAATGTCACCCAGATCATTACATTTCTAAGTCACTTAGAAATAATAAGTTTGGGTTTTTTTATCTATTGCGTATTCAGGGCTGTTCTTAAAAGGCTGAAGTCTGCAAACAGTGGCTGTTACCGTGCAATCACTTCCTGCTCTAAATGTGGGAAAAATAACAAACRAATATATCCATGTCAGTGTTAAATTTTTGAAAGAGAACATGTTTGTACAAACATATACAAACAGGCCCATAATAAATCACTTTTATTAATTTGTCAGTAATCTTTATCCTGCATAACATTTCTTCTAGACTTATTGTTTTTCTGAAATACTCTGATTGCAGGCAAAAAGTTGGACATGGGAAAGGGCTGATAAGCATCTGTCTAGCAGCCAGACTTTTTTTTAGTGAGACTCCAATTAAGGAAGAACTAGGCCCTGAATGAAAAATGGGAGAGGCTAAAAGCAGCAGTAAATAAATTAACCCTGTTTAAAGTTTAGGACGAATGACAGCAAGCACTCTGTATACAAGAGATTGCCTTAATCCTTATCAACTAATTGAGATTAATATTGAGTTCCAACTGTGCTTTTTCTTTATCAGACTGAAAAGRGGGTCTGGGGAAATGTCATTTGATGTTAAGCCGTTTTGCATCTGTATGCCTAAATGTAGTACATAATTTTCATTTAAGAGTTGAAATGTCATCTTTCCCCATCTCCAGCCACACTGGGAATCAAATTCACTCGATTTAGCCTTAAGTACTTGTTGGGTAGAGACTGTGACATTTCTAGCAGTTTGTAATCCTGTTTGGGCTTTTAACTTAGAGTCATAGATCTGCTTTCCTGTGCATTCCCTGATTAGAAAGTTCACAGCTTCTCGTCATTCATCAGTACCCAGCAGGGAGGCTTCAGCACTGCAGAGAGGCCATCTTCATCTTGACAGTGAAAAAGGAATCTACTGAAATGTTTTCTGAAATAAAAATTTTAAAAAATGCAATTATTGCTTTGCCTTGATATTAAGGGAAACTTCTGTGTCTCCTGTCAAGGATGAACTAGAGGTTTGGGGAGTTGGGTTGCTTTATTCATTCCTCCTCCTCCTCTTCTAGCTCTTAGTTTCTCAGTGTGCCATTTTTTGATATTTTTGTTTTGTTTCATATGAACTGTCTAGCTCTAAACAGATGCCGAAATTAGTCWTAAAAATTAGCTTTTCTGAACAGAGACCTATATTTCTTTTGGAAGATTTTCTTCCTTCCAATAAAATATTTATATATACAGTATGTTTGAAGAGTTGAACTGGAAAGATGTCCCTAAAAAGTAATCATTTCAAAAGTGAAGTAACAGAAGCAGTGTTTCCACTTGCATGGATTATCAAACTTAATGCATCTTAATGTGCAAGAAATTGTGGGGCTCTGTCCTTTAGAACAAAAGGATAAAGACCATRAGGTGTTTTGACCTGCAAAGCTTAACACTGTGTAACATGATGATTTCTAAAGGCTTTATCTGCCTATTTTGATGCAGGTATGGCTGGAGAACCACAGAGTGGACAGACTGCCGTGTTGATCCTTTGCTTAGCCAGCAGGACAAAAGGCGAGGAAATCAGACAGCGCTGTGCGGAGGCGGCGTCCAAACGCGGGAGGTGTATTGTGTACACGCTAATGAAAATCTCCTCTCCTATTTAAACACCCTCAAGGAAAAAGAAGGTAAATTTGATTCGCTTACAATTGAATAATTAGGATATCGGAGCTCTTCAGCATTCCTGAACTCCTTGACATCCCTTGTGTTCTGTCACAAGTGCCTTGTTTCTTACAGGTCACTCTCAAAAAAGATCTAGTTGAGATCTTGCAGGAGCAGAGATTTCACTCCTCATTCTGCAAATATTGGTTCCTAGCTATGAATTCTTTTTTTTTTTTCCTTAGTACTTCCTGAAAAAATGTTGTCTTACGTGAAAGATGTCCCTCAGTAAAAATAGATGATAAGAATGTGGATCAGAAATCCTAAATTCTATTCCATAATCTACTGCAGTTATTCCTGCATGTCCTTGAGCTGGCTGATGCAATTCTGAGGTTTGACATGCAGGCAAAATATAGAAATTCTGACATATAAATTCAGTACAGAACCATATAAAAATATAATCTTTTTAATTCTCAGGGTTGATATTTTTCTTTGGTAAATTTGGTCAAGTTTTATCTTATGTCATTGTGAGAGTTGACTCTTTAACTGAAGATAATTTCGTGTGTTTGTTTCCCAAACGGAAACACGAAAAAGACTRTTCCTGAAGAACTTCCCTGTAATTGTAGTGCTTGCATAGGCTGTACAACTTCTTAAGAAAAGACAGAAGACTAGTTTATATGAAAAAAATCTTCAATCAGTTTGGAAATGTAGTTACTCTAGAACAGAATTTGAGTATTTTGTTGCTTCTACTACTAGAGAATAATGTAGTACTTTAAATTTAGGAAGAAGAGGGAATTAAGCTAAATACATTTACTTCACTAAGTGTTACATATTGTCTTCTAAAGCTGTATTATGCAATTACTCATCATTACAAAAATAAAAAAAAATACAGCCAGATATTCCAGGAAAAGGGACATCCTTAAATCAGTCATGTGTAGTCAGACATTTGGAAGAAAGCTGGCTCTAATGACTAATTAGGGGGATAAAGGACTCTCAGAKTTAGTGTAGAGGTAGAGTTTATGCAGAATAACCATGTGTTTTGGCATGACTGCCTGGATCAGGGCGCTGTGACTGGTAGGCTCAGTAGGCCCCCCATCTGTGTTTATAACAGAAGAAGTTTTCAAGCTGTTTCACTTAATGCAAATCAGCTTCAGCCCAAGGGCCTTTAGGAAGCTGAGGCTGTAGAACAAAGTTTAGATGCCCCTGCCTTAGAGTAAAGGAGTAAAATTCTCAGCTAAGGAAGAAGTAACAATAAAATCAGGGGCAGCTTACTGTTCAGAATGATGATTAGGATTTTGGTAGCCTGTGAAGTCTTGCTGGCTTAGGCTGGTGTGAAATCTGTCCTTATCAGAATGTGACAGGAATACGCAGAGCCCATCAGGAGGTAATCTCTGTAGGCCCTGGAAAGCTGATTAAAATGTAACTAGTCTTTGGATGCATAAACATGAGAACAATTTCTTTAAGAGCTCAAAGTAGGGGTGAAGTGGATTTCAGTTTGAAAAGCTCTCGGGATGTTTCTGTGCTAGGGAGGAGATTTTAAAATGTGCTTCTTCTTCACCCTTCTTCTGTCTCTGTCCCCTCCCTCATCAGATTCAGTGCAGTGGAAAAGCAACTTAATGTAGCTGTGTCCTTGTAGAAGCAATGAAATCGGTGCCTTTAAAAGCAAAGCGGTAGATAAAAACAGGAATGATTGAGGATGGGACAAAAAGGGTGGCCCATGTACTGTTTCCTMCTGTTCCCACACTGGGAAACACCTTTGTTGCAGTGTGGCTTGCTATTCCTAGTAGGTACTGCTGTCTCAGGAAGGCTGCTTTGAAGACCTCCGTTCTCATGTACTCATGGTGACGTTTCCCTGTTATTTCAGAAAGTCAGTCACAGAGCAAGCCGAAGGCTAGTGCTGCACCTCTGCTATCGATCACTTTTGAAATAACAGGTAGGTAAATTAAGGCCGTTGACTTGGCCTTTTGTTTGAAAGGGTGCGAAGGAGGTGATGTCCCTTTTGGGGGGACCGTGCTGGCTGTATTTGCAATGATAGTGCTAAAACAGCTCACTGAATTTAGGTATTCTCATAAAACTAAGAATTCATTAAGAAATAAAAGATTAATTTGAAAAGTGACAGCCCTGAACATAAGCTGATGGGGCACATGCACCCCCTACCACTGAAGAAGAGCTCATTTTCATCACTATTTAATCAGTTTTAGTAAGTCAGTAGTTCTATCTCCATACTAAGCACTTGGAATTGTTATGCTGAGTTATTTGCTAATCCCAGGTATTTTTGCAGATTTAAAAAATGGAGTTAGGACTCCAGTAGGAATTTGGACTTGTAGTCCAAATGTTTGGCTTTGTATTGTCCATTATATCAGAAGCTATACATGTCAATGTGAGGAAGAAGAGTGTTGGATATAGTAATTAGACAGCAGAAAATCAAGATTGCTGGATGACATTGTCATTCTTCCATTTACATGCCATTGATTAAAGAAAATAGTTCAATCTCTTTTTGCCTATTTGCCTGGTTTAGTCATGAATTTTCTCTCACAGTAAACCTGGGAGGAAGACTGTGTACTCTTTTTCTAACTACCTTTAAAAGTGTTGGTGTAGAATGAGCATGTGAGGAAAGGTCCTTTGTTAATTTATTCCACATCTGCAAACACACTCATTGTCCAGCTAAGCACAAAGGTCCTGCTGGCATACATAGAGTTAGGTGGTTGCTCGGAGGGCCAGGTCTGGAATTACCTACTATCTTTTGATGACACCGCAACTGGTTATAGAAAATCAGGGAAGAACCAACAATCTTTCATTGTTGCTCATGGTGTGTTTTGGGCTCACTTTTTTTCTTTTTTTATTTTTGAGGGAGAACAGAAAAGTCTCTCTCCATTAATTGCTATGAAACTAGAGTAAGTGATGGCGAGAAAGAGGAAGCAAATGGTCTCTTTGTGCCAACTTGGTCGCTTTGTTGGTGATTCCTGGAGGAGAATGGGGAGGTTGAGACCTCAATAAACAGAGCAAATTCTTGAGAGCAGAATAGTCTTTTAGTTCTTTTTTTAAAATGTAACCATTTGGGTTATGAATATCCTTATTTGGATTATGAATATCTTTTTTTTTTTCTTTTTTCCTCCTTTTTGGACTATTTTATGGCATTACTTAGTGACCTATTCAAGCACTGGAGTGCCCCAAAATGTTTCTACTTGTCCATGGYTGTATTCTCAAGATTATTGTTTGCTCTTTTTCAGCAATCTAGTAGTTCTTTCAGAAGAAAAACTCATAGCTTGTTGTTTTTTTGAGGCGGAGGGATAGTGTTTGATTTTTGTGTTGTTTATTTTTTAAAAAAAATCAGTTTGGAGAGGAGATGTTCTAGAAGAGAAGAAAAATAGTCAGCTAAATGGATGATTGGATGACAGAGAGACTGAACCTCATTTTATTTTTTAAGTACTTCAGACACAAAATTCATTCAAAACTGAGTCAACCTTTTTAGATAGACTGAAGAAAAAAGCATAGATTAAAAGACATTCAGTTTTCTTTCCATTTTTTGCCCCAAACTTGGTCAAATTCCACCTGAAGACTGTAGTATTGTGCACAGCCTAACCAGCATGCAGCATCACTGCCAAGGAAATATTAACAATCCTTATTGCCACCACAGAAAATATGAAAATACGTGAATATTAAAATAAAGCAAGGATTTGAACTGTAAATTTATGCATCCAGCATCATCTTCTCTCAAAGCATCTTTGCTAGACAGAGAAACAAAAGAACTAAGCTTGTTAAGCAAGCATCATCTTCTAGCTTGGGAAGCTAGAAGAAATCCATTTAAAGTATCAGGAAAGAGATGTTCACAAGATATCTAGGCAAAGATAAGCTTTCTTATTTTACTGTTAGTTCAAAGAAAGAAAGAATTCTGAGTAATCCAGCGTAAAGTAAACTCTGAGTATTCAATTAGAAAAACAAGACCTAGAACTCTTATGGGATGAATATGTCCAAAAAGCTTGAAATAGCTTTCCTTTCCTTTGAGTCAGCATCACTGACAAAGACAAACACTGTGATAATTCCTGTTATTTTGGCATTTCAGGACAGTTACAAAAATATGCTATTTTATGTTTCCTGACAAAAGACTTTTGTTGTGTTTCTGGATGCCATCCCATGAACTAGTGGGACAGTAAGTGCTTGATCTTAATGGCGTGTTTGAGACCAAGCAAGGTCTTGCAGGTGTGATTGACCTGGAATTTCTATTGTGTCACTTAGTCAATTTCCTGATTAAATAAAGGCTGCAGTCTATGCTTAGCAATTATTTACTGTCTTTCTTTGTTATTAGAAACTATTTGATGCAAATTCAGTTAGAAGCAAATTGCGTTTATTTAGACTCATGTTCTACACAAGTTAAGCGTGTTATGTATTATCACGTGTGCAAAGTTTGCATGTCCAAMTTCGTGCAAAATTAAGTATTCTGACATAAAGCTTAGTTCCAACAGAGCATTATCCCCTCACTGGAATCATTTTTTTTCCTGTATTATTTTGTGTTAAGAGTTTGGTACCTGGAGGCAATAACATTTAATGAGTGATCTGCCACCTTCACACCTTCATTACTCCGAGCAAAATGATGCAAAACTGCCAAAGGAAGTAAAATATGAAACATATTCATAGAGTGATGAGTTTTCACTCCTTGTTTTCTTAAAAAGTTAGAATCAAGTACTTTTTTCTATTGCTAAGAAGACCACCTTAGAAAGCTGGAATAGAAAGAAACATGCATATATATAAGTGACTGTACTTTAACAGCYTAAGGTTTACTTTAACATTGTATCTGGGATTACATCCTTACTTAATTTAAGTAGCGGTCTTCTGAATATATATAGTCAGTGAGATCTTTCATCACAAGAGTTTGTTTTTACTGATAGCAAGAATTCATGAGGTAAATTTGTTGCAAAAAAAGTTCTGATGGAGTAGGATGATAGTGATTTAAGTTTAGGAATTGCATGTTTCTTCAACTGACCAAATAGGAAGAACATAGCCAATTTCTCCATGTGTTCTAGTAGTTATTTCCTGCTTAGCTTAATATCTTGTAAAGTCCAGTATTATGAAAGAGGATTAAAATCTTGCTTGTAATGAATTTTTGCTGCATTTGCTTTGGAGTTCTTTCACTTAATCTGGCATTTTACAGCATTGCCCTGTTATTTGTGGAATCTGGAAATTCAAGAGTGAAGTGACCTTCTATTTGATGTGGAAGAAGCAGGGTGATGTTGGTCTGTTATGGCCCTTACATTATACTTAAAGAACAGAAGAATCTGTATTTGCACAATTCCTTGATGTTTAGTCATAGTTTAATGAAAAATCAATTATTTTGTACAAGGCTTAAATTATTTTTAAAATATTGTGCATAGGTAGGTATATAAAACTTCTTTTGAAATGAAGCTGCTCTTGCACAAATCTACTGAGTGTACTGAAGGTCTTTAGAGTATAAGAAAACTGAAATTCTGTCATCGTTTTAACCATATTTCAGTTTGTAGCTTAAAAAATAACCCTTTAAATATTCATTAGCTAGGCTTTTGAAGTTTTTTTTTGCAGTATTATATAGAAGCAAAGGGATTTATACAGCTTTTTGTTCCSTTTTTTTCAGTGAAGACATAGTAAGACAGCAGGACATTGATTTACACGAAGAGCAATGTGAACAAATGTTGTAGTAACATACTGTATTTATGAAATGAAAGGACTAAGTCCTACAGGGTGCTGCAGTATCTACAGTCTTCCTGAATCCACCTAATCGGATTTGGCTCTGTTCGTTCGGAGAGTTAACTGACTTCTGTTTCATTTTTTTCAAGACAGGAATTTTCCCCTTACTTCATCAGATTAAAAGGATGAGATAGCAGCCTTTCTGAATGAAGGACAGTTGTGCTGACCCAGAGCAGAGGGTCATGCAATCCTGAGAAACGTGTTGTCCTTGTTTCTGCAGCTTCTCGGCCTGTGGACCGCAAGCTGTGCACAGGACCTCTGCCCAGCACCAGCCAGCTGTGCCACATCCCCTGCCCCATCGAGTGCGAGACCTCGGCGTGGTCAGCCTGGGGACCATGTACCTATGAAAGCTGTGAGGACACGCAGGCTAAGAAGGGTAGGTAGAAGTTTAGAGATGTTTTTGAGTGGTTATTTAAGATTCCTACATCACTAGGCACTGCTGACTATGCAGTGTGCTAATCTTTGTACCAAGAAAGCTCTATCCAATACCTGTAAGTAACTTGAGAGTATTCAGGTAAGCAGTAAATTATTCATTACTTCTTCATCAAAGCTGGCAAAGCATAGACTATTTTCTGAGCCGTCAAGGGCAAATTGGGCAGTTATAGGTCAATTCCAATTTTAGATCTTTCTTTCAAATCAAAAAAGGTCAGTTTGCAAATATCTTCAGATCATGGTTCTGATCCTGTCTCAGAAGAATAGAAGAAGCCTCTGAGGTGGATAGTGTCCACATCACCTAAAGTGATGTGATAGTTTTAAGAATTCACCAGTACACCATAAACTGTTAATAAGCTACACTGTTTCACTGATGACATATGCACTAGTTTCTATTTTCACATGTTTTGTGGCATATTCCTATGCAGAACATATTGTAACAATCTGACATCAAAATGACAAGGCAAGAATAAAGTGACAAGGACCACATGTAAGAAGCCTGCAGGTTTCTGTCCACGAATGAGAAAAACTGGCCTAGTCATTGCTGTAGTGTCATTCTCTGACACTAGTTGAAAATCCTGATGTGGTTCCTTGATTGAAAATGCTCATAGGAAAGAGCAGCCACATATGTCCACTTCAAGGACCAGCTGTAATTATCAGGTTAGTTCAGCTTCTTTTTCCTGGTATTCTGGTATCTGCAATTCAGTCTGTGCAGCACTAGCAGAGGCTTTATGATGCTGTCACAGTTATGTGACTCAACCTTGATCAAGTTTCTTCTAAGTACAGTGGCCAGGTAACATGTTATTTCTGTAGCTGTTATTGAAAGATTTGCTGCATTTTCAGGGGTAATTTGTGTTTGTGAGATCCATTTGAACACTTGCCTAAGGGAAATTTATTGGGCTGTACAGTGTGTGAGTCTTCTAATCCTGCAGACTTACGCAGGGAAAGTTCTGCTTTAATTTTAATGTTTCGGATTCCTACAATAAAGTGTCAGTATTGGAGCAGAGCTGAGGGAGAGGAAGCCTGCTAAAAGTGTGCACAGGCTCCCTATGTAGCAGAAGATAAAGTTTTTCCTTTGATCATAAAAGCCAAACTGACAAGGGGAAGTACCTGGTAGCTTCATAAGCATATTAATGTCATAATACAGTACATTTTGCCTGAGATTATTACATTTGGTCTTGGTTTATGTATTCTGAACTGCATTTTGTTCCATGCTTTTGGTGTTTCAGCTGCATGGTAATTGTAGCATTTAATCTTGAGACTTATTGCTGCTGTGTGCTCTGCTGGGCCAGTTAACTAAATGAGAGTATTCTTTTCCCACATCCATATCTGTTTGTATGAACATCTGTCAGGTCTCCTTCATCCATGTTTTGGTTTCCTTTAGATGGAAAACACAGCTGGATGAGCAGATATGAAGCTGCACTGTGCTTTTGCCAGGCTGCAGTTAGGGGATGCAGCAGGAGGAATTAGTCCTTTTGATGTGCCCTAATATTTGAGATGCATTTTGGATTCAAAAGTGAACTGTGGAGGTGCTATCTAGTTCTGGTACAGATAAGGATGAATAGAGATGGCTTGGTGAGATTCAAAAGATGAAATATGAAGAAAAATAAACTTATTTTAGATAAGTTTTACTGCTTCTGTTCAGCTCTGTTTTCTTGAGCCTTTAATATACTTTTAATATGTGATAGATTTCCCAGCTTGACATCTTCAATAATCATGAAATAGGCAAGCTACAGAAACTAATGTGTGAGCTAACATATCTTTCTGTTATAACATGATATTCAGTACTGGGCATTTTTCAGTATTCCTTTTCATCTGTCTTCATATAATTTATTCTATGTATTYCTTATCTAATCTAGTTAGTTTTGTGGTCACCATATAGTTATCACCAGCTGTACAGTATTTTCAGGGGACACATCATAACATAAAACCAACTTTCTCCTTTCTCTTGTTTTTCTCTGGTTAATCTCTTATGTGTCTACAACTCTTTGGGTTTCAATATCAGCAAAGAATACTACATAAGAAAGCATCCCAAATAAAGTCTTACAGAATGTGCATGGATCTTCCACTTATTATCACTTTTTTTGTTTTAACAAAAAGATACTGTGTTACATATGATGCCAACCAGATATGCTGCAAAAATATGCTCCTTTCTGTGTCTTTCTCTGACACTAACTGGAGTTTTATAGACAAGCTCAATTTGGGATAAGGTTAAAGTGCCTGAGAGGAAGCTGAAAGAAGGAAAGTTTTTACTTTGTAAACTGTGTGCATAAGTGGGTTTCTGTCTGACAGTTCCTCTTGTCCTCTGTTTGCCTTCAGAAGATTTTATAAACACTTTGCCTGCAGTGCTTTGAAATCTCTGTTGATGTGAATATGATTTTGAAACAAATACAAATGCTGCAAATGGCAGCCTTTTCTTACTCTTCTTTCGTGCCCTTCTCAACTTCACTCATGTCTTTTTGTTTGTTTTCTCTGCCTTTCTGTTCTGTAAGCATGTCTACACTTTTCAGCCTCTTTCTGCTTTGTGTTTGAGCACCCTTTTCCATCGAGGGCATGTGATTCAGACAAACTTTAAGGCTTTAAGACAAAACTTGCTGAATAAACTCACAGTTCTAAAGCCCTAATTTGAGTTTTACCATTCTTCTTTGGTTAATGAGTTCTTCTAGGTAATTATATGAAAAAAGGCAGTGTTGCATTGAGTGTTTCTGTGTTTTTGACTCATCAAAAGTAGAGCTGTCCACTCCATTGTAGACAGATAAATATCATTTCACTTAGAATTTTATGAGTGACTCGTTTCACAACTTAAATTTTCACGGACACTGCAGGTTTTAAGCTGAGGAAGCGGCGCATCACGAATGAGCCGACCGGAGGGACAGGCAGCTGCCCACACCTGCTGGAAGCCATCCCGTGCGAGGAGCCCTCGTGCTCCGAGTGGCGAGTCGTGGGCTTTGAGCCCTGCCTGCCCGACAACGACAAGGCCTGCGGACCTGGCACACAAGTGCCCCTCGTCGTCTGCGTCAACAGCGATGGTAAGTGCTTTTMTCCACCTTCTTTGGAGACTACATGGAGAGGTAGTCTCAAAAAGTGACGCTTTCATTCTTTTTGGCTTTCCCAGTCCTTCAGGCAAAGCTTTCTGGACTAGAAATAGCTCTGTTAGGGACCATTGGGTGCAATGAACCCACTAGTTGCTGTAGCATCACATTCTGTTGGCCCAACCCCCCACASGATCTGAGAAAGACCTTGATAAGAATAAACAGCTATATTTTTTTTTCAGTAGGTCAGATTCATGCCTGCAACGGCTTCACTGAATTCCCTGATGTAATCTCACTAACAAACCTGAGCTGCTAAGTCAAAAAGCAGATAAAGTGTGAGGAAAGTAAAGTGTGTTGCGGTTCGGAATAGCTGGAAGAAAAATAATCATGCATTTATTAAAAATYATAGTTTGATGCATGTTACAAAGTTGGTTTGACAGTCCAGACTGTCTTGTTTCTTCAAAGGTCAAGAACACCAACCACCATTATGCCGTCTTTTATGATAAATAATATATAATTTAAAAAAAGATTTTGCATAACATTGTTCTAGCCACTTTTGAAAGCTGCTTACAAAATACTTTATTCTGTACATGAATCATATACATATATATATATATATAGTCAGGTCATAGTCATAGACTGTATATATATATATAGTCATGAATTATTTTGAGGAAAATATTCCTTATTCATTGGTAATATTATAGTCTGTTCAGAACACAAGATATATATTAAAATAATTGCATTGTCTAAAGCGTAGTTACTGTAAGAGACATCTAACTCCCCTTACAGGATTAAATATGGGGACACCTCTGGTGCGTGTTTAGCTGCTGCACAAAAATATATTATAATTGTATTGCTCCAAAGGACTGAGATTTGCTTTTAGAGACTTTAAACCTTGAGCTGTCGTGCTCAAGAATTTGAGTGATAATTGAGTTTGAGGGTTTAGATTTAAAACCTTAGAACTATAGTGYAAGCTTTATTTTTCTGCAGATACCTAAGAGAATTAGTAACAGTTTTTTACAGCTTGGAAAGAGATTACCCTAGAATGCCCATATTGAATGTATTACATTTTATGTCCCTTGAGCAGCAAATATCCATTCACATGGTGTAATCCTTTCTTGTCAATAATACTGAAACTATTGGGGATTTTTTAAAATATATATACATTTCAGATGAAAAATGACCTTTTCCTTGCAAGTGAAAGTGTTTCCCAAGTAATTCTGTTTAATATGAAACAGAATCTGTATTAAAAAAAAAAAAAAAAAAAAAGCAATGCTTAACTAGATTTTGGATAGTTCAGTTTTCCTACTGCTTGTGGGATGGTGTTTACTTACATTACTTACATATCTAACTTCTTAATGCATAGTAATATAGATATTTATATGTATTATAATTTATAGTAGATATAATTTATTTTAGTCAATATACGATTCCTTGTAATCATCTATTGTAATGACTATGGAAGTTCTCTTTTGTTCTTCTTCAGACTGTGAATTCAGACTGAGGAGTTGCTGTGTGYAGTGCATGAGGCAACCTAAGCACACACTAGCTTCTCTTCCCATGTAGCTCCCATGTAGTCCTCTCTCCTTCTCCCATCCTGGCACATATATCCCATTTCACAAAACACTCAAGTGGCAGATAACAAATTCTGGTCCACAAAGTCCAGCAGAGCATTTCCTTGCAGTCTGGTGGGTTTGACATCCATCCCCACAAGCAAGGTAGTCTGGCATGAAATAATGATATGWTGCTATAGTTTTGATCTAAGTGGCACACAGGGAATTTTGTGCAGAAACAATGTGTGGATAAGGATTCACTGAAGTTTGTTTTGTTACCTAAACTGAACTAGTCTTTGCTTAAAAGTCCTCTCTTTGCTTCCYGTAAGTTTTTCTCATGAGTTCATGTGAATTAATTAGTGATTCATAAATCTGTGTCTTCGATCACAGAGACGTAAGTACTTTAAAGTGAAAATGTATTTTCCCTTAGGCTTCTGTGTTACAAAATGAAAAGGCTGGAGTCTTTAATTTTCAGAATAAGCATGGTACTGTTTCAGTTTTAACGTAAGATAYACCCCACACKGATGAGTATCTCCTCTTTCTGTTGATTATGTCATTATATATATTTGAAGCGTAGCTCATTGGGATAGCAGGTTTCAACCTGAGGTCTCTTATTTTACAATTAGAATCAAATAACAGTGCTGTGAGGTTATTGTATATAATTGGAATGAGCTTCTCTGTTTAATTTGTTGTAAAGATAAGAGTCATTACAGCCTTGGAGACAATAGCAAAGAGTAGATTATTCTCCTGTGTTGTTGCTGGAGGCCTATGATTGCCATTCTCTTTCCACGGTGCATTGTAGTAATCAGAATTTTCATTCAGGCTGAAAAAATATGACAGTCAGTACCCTAGGTTGTCATTGCAGGGGCTATAATGAACTTTGATGTATTTTATTGTATAAATGGACCTTCAGCCTTGTACTGTGGCAAGAACCTTGTCAGAATATTTATTCCTAGKCTGTTTTCCAGGGAGTTTTATGAAAGAACGCCTCTGGGAGAAAATAGTCTTTTTAATTGCAGAAGCTCCAAAACCGGACATGATCTGATCAGATTTCTTACATACTATTACATTGGAATTAAAATTGATACCATTTCAGCTATTTATATATATATATATATATCATATAAGTAAGATATTTAGTGATGTACACACAGATATATACATTTATTTGATTTAGATAGGCTAAATCTCACTTACAAGGGATACATTTTCTGTGGATGTTCCTCAAGGTCACTAATTGCTGGGTTACAGTCAGCTCCACAGGGCAAAGGGGACTTACCGCCATCCTGCAATCTCACTTAGCCCATAGGGATGAGTGATCTTGGAAGAGGGAGCCATGACACCAGCAACACTGTCCTTGGATATGAAAATTCCTGCAAGCCTTGGAAGTGGCAGAGCTGTTGCTGAAGTTGCCTGGGCAGAGCTGCTTATGTAGCTGACTGCCACAAGGTCTGGTACCACCCTCATCTGGACGTATACGAGTGACTCACATGTCACCTCTCATGAGACTCGAGTAGAAATTCAGACCACCAGCAACATTAATATTGTCACTTTTGGTCTGTTTAGGGTTTGAATCGTATATGTACTAAGTGATTTGCAGGTGGCTGTTGGTCTTCATTCAGTTTTGTAATGGAAAACAATGGGAAAAGTAAGTGGAAGCTTTGTGTGTGTGTCCTGGTATAAATACTTCTTCCCTTTCTATTATGCTTATACACTCGTTGRACAAAGAAACCATCAATTTAGTGTCAATTTGTGACTTAATTCTTTAAAAAGAATGGAAGAGCTGGTTCAAACTTGAATTACACTGAATTACTGGGAGTTCTGCAAGAAAACCCAGATCAAAATCTGGCCACATCTCAATGGTCAATTAGTCGGAAAATGTAATAGCTAATGATAGTTTCTTTCAGCACACATTGCTTCATACTTACAGGAACTTGGTTGGATGTGCATTAGTCATCATTTTCCAATATTAATTGTCTACCTAATGTCATTATAGGATTGACTGAGACTGCTCTTTGCTGCCTGAGAGCTTTTTGGCTCACCATCTGAGGCATTTAAAATAAAGGCTGAGATATAGTGGAAGCATACTTTGTTCTTCACAGTAGAGTACATAAATATGGAATATATATCCCAGTCATTTCTTTGCTTTAATTTACCTGGCTATGTAAAACAATTGAATATTTTTAATAGTTTTACTTGGTGTTTGTTGTACCTAATAATTTGTTACTGGAAACACGAAGGGTAAAATTACGGTCTTTTTAAAGGATCTTAAAATTGGTACCCTCAAGCTGCAGTGTTCCGGGACATTGAATTTTTAAGGCATTTCTGTTTAACAAGATTATTTGCTGTGCTTAGTTTTAAGGTGATTGAAGAAAAGCATAGTGTATAGTACCACTGAAACTATCCCAGTCCAGTTCTGTAATCAAGAAGCCTAACACACACTAATTCTTTTGCTGAAGGAAGGCCACATTTAATATGTCATACCATATACCATACAATTGGTATTCCTTTTGTGTCTTATCTTGCCATTAGGAAAGTGGATGAGCCCCCATTAAATCCCATATAAGAATAGATCTTTTTAATACTTGTATAACATGATGTGATTCCGTTATGAAAGCTGACTAAATACATCACTTCCTCTCTCAATATCTTTTGACCTGGAAATAATAATTGGCCTGGAAGAGTGAAGCATTGACTTCAGTTAAAGGAGTAAGTAAAACAAATAAGAGTTTCATCAGTGCAGTGCAATAACTTATCACCACTGATCTTAGTGTGATAGATTCTGGTCCAATTTATGGTACATTTTTGAAGACAGCGTTGTGGTTCATTATATACAATGTCTATAGAGACATCAATGTTAAACATAGTTTAAAATGTAAAAGCTTAAAATAGCTTAACATGTAGCTTAAAATGTAAGTTTACTTAAAAATAAGTTTAAAATGGGTAGACCAACTTAATTACCTAAATCTTTATCTTGTGTTGTAAATAATAACTTGGTTATCTAGTCATAAGAGATGTTTTTGCTATTTTATGTTACACTTATGTCTAGAATGTACCAGTACTTTGCAGAGAAAAGTGGGCTTGTGCACTTAAAATGTCAGACTTCTAGGGGYAGAAATTGTCTGTGGTGAAAAGCAAGAGTATTCCCGGAATAGAACGCAATTTAATTACAAATTTTAGTAACCTGTGTTTTATCAAGCAACCAGCTGAAAACACAAGATGTTGCCAGAACTACGTGTTGCAAAAGTCAGTAAGTTAGGTAGGGAGATGTTTTGATTTGTATAGTGGCCTAGAAAGCAGGAGTCGGATCTTCATTAGACTTCAAGCTTTATTGTAATAAGAATGCTAGTGACACTTATGTATGCATTTTAAAATACTTATTTTTAGATTGTACAGACATATTTTCCAGGCATCCTGCACACAAATGGTAAATTTTCTTAA